AGTCCTGGTGTGATGCTGTAGGATAAGCACTGGACTGCTAATTATAAGGTCAGCAGTTCAAACCACCAGCCACTCCTCAGAAATCCTGTATAGGGTTGTTATGAGTCGGAACTGACACACCTTATTTCTTAAGCCTGTTTGGGGTACCTCCAGCTCATTCACAGGCTCAACTCTGTTCCCCAGGTGGGCCTGCCAGCCAAGTCAGCTGTGTCAGGAGCCATCCTGCTGGTGGTACCCAATGTCATGGGAATGATGTGTCTGTCACCACCACTGGACAAGCTGGGGAACAGCCACAGGGGTATCAGCTTCTGCCAGGTCAGTTGCTTTGTATATAGCAGGTACTTAATATTTGGGGATGAATAAAGTTCTCCTGAGCTCCTACTGAGTCCAGGGAGTAAGTAAAGTTTATCTTTGGCTTACAATTCTAGAAGTTGGTGTCTCTCTTCAATTTCCACAACTATGACAACCTGAGGCACTGTGCGCGGAAGTTAGATCCACGGCGTGAAGGGGGAGAAGTTCGGGTAGGAAAACCCTAGGTGGCTTGTAAGAAAATGAAAAAGATTCCTTAACAATTCAGCAATACCCCTTGGCTAAGGATTGAGGGAGGAGGGTCACAGGGCAGGGGTTCAAAGTCACAAGTAACTTCATGTGGGTATGACTTGTTTTTCAGAATAAAACTGTGGTAAACCTGTTATTTGCTGCCTATAGTGGGGATGTCTCGGCTCTTCGAAGGTACTTCTGTGACCAAATACAATAAAACACTCCTGGGTAAAGATCTCATTAGGAGGCAACTAGCAAAACACAGCCCCTGAGTTACTCAGGAGAATTTGTAAGTAAGTCAGAACAGGCGCATTCAGTTCTTACTTTAGTTTAGCAAAGGTTTAAAAATTATGTGTGCAACACGTGAAGGTAATTTTGATGAAGCATTTGGCCTGAGTAGGGATTGATTCCATAGTTTCCAAGTGAGGGCAAGTTTACATAACATCACAGGGCAAGTATGAGTTGTCTGAAAGCCAGACTTTTGTAACCCAGTAACTGCCTATAGTTCTAAGTGCTTTAGCTTTGAAGTCAGACAGAATGGACATAGATTGCATTTAAATGAGATTTTTTTTTTTTTTTCAAACTAGAGTCTGCTACATGGTAAGAACTTATTTGTAGTCATTATCATTATTAACTTGAGTGTTAAGGGCTAAGTCCTAGCAGGTAGGGGCCCTGCCTGAATAAAATTAATACATACCGGACACCTAGCATGAGTAGGCAAGTGACATTTCTGAACATGATCATACGCTCATCTTTCTGGTGGTGGACTAACAGTCTCACCTTAATACAAAACAAGATTATACAGGGCCTACAAATCTTGGTATGAGTCCTATTTTACTCTTTCTGGAACCCATCCAGACTGACCCTTCTAGTCTGATCACACCAACTGCTTTTCATTACTCTCAGGTTTGCCTTGTCGGCCATGGACATGGAACAGAAAGACTATGACTCTCGCACAGCCTTGCATGTTGCTGCAGCTGAAGGTATCTAAAAGGTTAAATAAGAGGGGATACCAATTATAAGACCATATGTAGCTGTCTAGTAGATTCTGACTCATGGTGGACTTTATAGGGCAAGAACTAGCCTTTAGGGTTGCTAAAGCTGTAAATCTTTACAGAACCAGACTGCCCCATCTCTTTCTCCCACGAGGCAGCTGGCGGGTTCAAACTGCTGACCTTTCAGTTAACAGTCAAGCTCTTAACCACTGTGCCACCAGGGATCCCTGTAAAATTCTATATATTCCATATACCCTTAGCTGGCTTGGCATTTCTTGTCTGCCAAGAGAACTCTCATCTTGTATCCTCAAAGTTACAGGGGCAATAACTTGTTTTGTCAAGATGACCTTTAGACTGTAGCCAGACTCTTGTTGGCTGTTGCAGGGAACAAAATAGGAAAAGGACTTTTTTTCTTGGTACAGACCCCAGCTGCCAAGGGTCTACACCAATATCAACATCAAAGGGTTCCAGATCTGTACCCTCTCATTTTCCTTCTGTCTGTGATCTCAGGACATATTGAAGTTGTTAAGTTCCTGATTGAGGCCTGCAAAGTGAATCCTTTAGTCAAGGACAGGTGAGTAGGCGTCAGCTGGGAGAGGAGGTGAGAGTCGGTATGGGTGGAGGGATGGAGCATGCCCAGCACTGCCCTCCAGTCACCACACGTGTATACAACCACCGTCCTCTTAATGGCTTCTCTGTTTAATGGGCTGTGTTCCTCTCAGGTGGGGCAACATTCCCCTGGATGATGCTGTGCAATTCAACCACCTAGAAGTGGTCAAGCTGCTTCAAGATTACCAGGACTCCTATACACCATCCGAGACTGCAGCTGAGGCAGTGACGGAGGCTCTGTCCAAAGAGAACTTAGAGAGCATGGTGTGAGCATAAGGCACATAGTCCCTGCTCAAGAAAAAGCACGAGTTGGCCATACACTTAACTCATAACCACCAAAAATGTTATGGAGAGTTACACTGCTTCAGTGGGTACCAAGAAAGTGATTTGGTGACTTAGGCCAGTGCTTTCTGAGTCAAAATACCCCATTCCATTGACAGACAGGTACAGAGAAGGGTCTCAGGGGACATTTGAAGAGAGCAACCCACGAAGTCTATGGGCTTCTTTGAGGTACAGCTTAGCCCACTCAAAACCACCCCAGGTTTATACACCCAGGTCCCTTGTCCTCTCCCCAAGAAAACCATCACGACTGGAAGACACTCTGATGGATGAGCTCAGCTATCACACACAGAGGAAGGGAGAGGAGGACCTATGTACCTAGAGAGGTCTGTCCCCATTAGCCAGGACATGCTGCTACTGCAAACAATTTTATAGACAGAGAAAAGTATTTTGTGCTCAAATAAACTTTAATTACACAAATAATTATTTTTGCTAAGCCCAGCCCTTCTCTTCCTTAGAGATAATCCTGTTAACATCACCATTATAAAGGTAGAAAAGATGGAACCATCAGGTCAAAGCCCAAACAGTACATATTTCACATACATACTCGTTTACCTCATCCAGTTTTCCCTGACCCCCAATACTGCTTTAGATTCAATGCAATCTGGTTCCAAGGGGAATGGGAGCTTGGGTCTAAGCAAGACCTAAAATCGACTGTGCAAAACCTCAGATCTCCCTGCAGCAAAAATGAAGATGAACTTCTCAAGAATCAACGTTTTCAAGCATTTGTTAAATGTCGTTGAGTCAGTTCCGATTCATTGGGCTTCTGAAAGTAGCTGGTGGGTTTGAATGGTCGACCTTGTGGTTAGTAGTCCAGTGCTTATCCTATAATGCCACATTAAGATGCCGTATCTAGCACTAACCCCCTAGATAATTCCCAAGTGTGTCTTCCCCTTTGGCCCTGATTGTAACTGGCACAATGATTTTAAAGGATCAGACAAGTGTCAGAGATGTGCAGATTAAGGCAGATGAACTCAGAGTGGGAATAACTGCAGCTGTGTGGGGCTGAGGGTCTGTGGCATTATGGGGCTGAGGGTCTGTGGCATTAAGGTACTAAGGGAGGACTGTTTTCTCACTGTCATACTTAATCAATAAAGCATTTATGGAGGGAGTCAAAGCCCAGACTCTGCATGTGATGTAGAGACAGTGCTAAATCACCGACTTACCACTCCAGCCAGAGGTAGAAAGGATTTACTCAGATTTGGTAGAGCTCCAAGAACATAAGTTACATGTAAGCAAGCAAGGGAGAAAGAGGTGTCAAAGTAGTGAATGAATTCAAACAAGGCTGAAAGACAACCCCAAAATTGAATATTTAAAAGGTCTGGGCACAGAGAGGCAAGTCAGGGAAAGCACACACACCCATGGTAATCTAAGAAACTGGCATGGTTTGGGAGTGGTGTGGGGGGGCGGGGTGAAGAGTGTGGCTGTATGCCTAACTTTCACAGGGCAGGGGACAGGAAGATGGTTAAGATATTGCACAGAGGGTCCAATATTCAGTTGGGAGATGCAGACAGCTTGGGGCAAAATTAAAGGCATTTTAGACACTTTCATCAGAAGACTGGCCAAAAACATGATTAAGGGTTCTAGTGATAGGCATACTAGAGACCCTCAGGCACCTCAAGCCCTGAGTGGGTCAGCAGCTCTCCATCCCAAAGGGCAAAGGCAGGTACTACTGGACCCCGGAAATCTGATGGTAGCGTGTGGACCACAGCGATACGGCTCACATCCACCAGGCTCAGCTTCTGGGCCTCATAGTCTAGCAGCAGTCCCACCTTCTCTGGCTGCCCGATGCCCTCAACTGGTGTTTTCTCCTTGACCAACATGGTGTGCCACTTGCGCTGGGCATAGGTGAACACCCAGGACCGATCATCAACACCGATGCAGCTATCCCGGGATATGTCCACATCTGCCACTCCTATCCGGAATTGCTGGGAGCGCTTAACTGTCACTTCCCAGTAGTGCCTGCCGCTGGTGACCGCTGTGTCTGCCAACACCACTGCCCACTCACGGAAGCGCTCCACATTCTGGGTCACCTTGGTGGGCTCCAGTCCTACCAAGCCATATTTGACACCTGTGTTACCTCTGAAGAGTGCCAGGCTGCTGTGGGCGGTTTTTTCTTCCAGTTTGAAACTGATGCCTGTGAGCAGAGCAAAGAGACTAGATAGGCAGGGGCCAGAACCCTAGAACTACAATAATCTAAGGCAATCAGTCATGCATTAACAAGTCAACAGTGGGTAACAGAGTGGGGTGAGGATGAGAGGGTCGCTTTTGTATGGACAGCCCCAGAGGATGAGAAGCTTGGATTGCGGAAACAAAGTGATTGAAAGGAATTAGATAATTCCCCAGGTTTGGAATACTGAAACCAACGCAAACAGGGAAGAGGGTAGACTGGGACGGCTGAAGTTGCTTCTCGGAGCATCCACCGAGAACAGATGGAAATCTCTCCATTCTGGAGGCTAAAAAGGATAAAGAAAAGGTAACTGTACCTCTCCGGGCTTCCACAGCAGCAATCCCCAATCGTTTGGCTCCCCAGCTGCACAGGCGCAAAGCACCGGCTAAGGGCAGCGCCATTTTACACCAAGGATGAATAGACCACGCCCCCAGCTCCAGGCCGCGCCATCAGCTCCACCAGCTACCCTCGCACGTGGTCCGCGGGAGGCGGCCGCGCAGTGTGATGACATCACGACCCCCTCACCCAGCTGGAAATCTCCATTTTAGCAATTTCTTCCTGGCGGTTTTACGCCTTGGAAAAATGCTGTTTCATTGTGCTTGCATTTGAACTAAATAGGGCCTTTAGGGATATGGGTAGAATGATGGTTAAAAGTACTTATCTGAGTTTTCTTTCTTGTAAAATAGAAATCATATCTAGCCCTTAGATATGATTATCCCACAGCCCTTAAGTGCTGTGGCGTCGATTCGGACTCTTAGTGACCTTGTACGGGGTTGCCAAAGAGTTGCATATGGGCTTGAATTAACAACGTTGTGCTGATCTTACGGCGCCACACTAGGAGTCCTTTCTTCTTCTTGTTAAGTGCTGTTGAATCGGTTATGATTCAGCAACCCTGTTTAAGTTTTCCGAGGAGTAGCTGGTGAGTTTGAACCGCCCACCTTACAGTTCAAACCGACCTTGCAATCCAGTGTATCCTACTAAAACTACGGCACATCTGTTGTAGTTGTTAAGTGCTGTCGAGTCGGTTCCGGCCCATAATGACCCTGTATAGGATTTCCAAAGATCAGTTGGTGAGCTTGAACCACTGACCTTGCGGTTCAAACTGACTTTGCAGTCCTGTGCATTTACAGCAGCGCCACAAAAGGACTTAAAAAAAAACTTTTAGGACCTATTAAAAACAATAAAACCTTAACAATTAATAGGTCAACTATTAGTGAGAAAAACATGAGAGATGTATGCAATCGGCCAGTCAGTTCTAGAGTACCAATATTGCAAAGCAGTTTGTTGCTTATGTTATTTACAATCTTATGACAAAAAAAAAAAATGTACAGCTTTTTTGAAGGGTATGATACAGAAGAAAAAGTCACATGGAATAAATAAAAATTACATCGGTCTTAGGAAAAACAAATTTTTAAGCTAAACATCTACCATCTGTTATTTCAAAGTTGAGTGGTAAGTGCTGGAGGCAGTCAGTTCTCAACTCTGCCACACTTAATAGGGTTTCTAAGGACCAGCTGGTGATTTTGAAATCCTACAGTATCAAGAAGTGACATTCTTGAGTGATAAAACACCCAGAAGCCTTGGAGAATTGTCTAGGCTTCTGGGAAGTTGTTTAGTTTTAACAGTATGTGGTACAGTGAATTATTTACTGTCTCTCCTACCCATGTTG